CATGTTTCTCAATCATTTATTTATATTGTTAATAATTCTTCTTCTTTTTTTTTTTATCTCACATATAATACACCATAAAAAAATATTACAATATTATTATATTGATAAATTTTTTTTTTTTTTTACAAAAAAACAATCTTCAATACAGACAGACTTATTAACGTGCTTAGACAGATTACTTTGTAGTAGGAAAAAACGTACGTCAAACCTACGTTGGAGCTAGTTACTTACGCTATAAGTATGATCATGATACATACGTTTTCCATACCCCCCCCCCCTCCTCTCTTCTTGGTCGAGAGCATATTTCGAAAACATTGAAGAGAGGTAGATAAGTTTGTTGAAGTGTATGTATATATATATTATTGCATTGTCCGATGCGTACTTTTGCTGGAAGACGCATGCTATACTGTTGTATGTATTATCGATCGGTAACAGTAGATTAATTTGGGGCACCCAGTAGGACAGACAGTGCGTGAACGAACCAGCTCACATATCTTGTCAGGTCACCACTGCGGATTGAATTTGATTTATTAATTCTCTGTTACATTGGATTCTGGGATGCCCTAAAATTATGGCAATACTATAATCACCAGTAAGGGATATTCAATAATGAAGTTTCAGAAACATGTCTGTTTTTTTTGAAGAAGAACAACCCAACATCATTATTACTCATTACTACATCAAAAGAAAGCTGCAGCATTCATTACTATTACAATTTACATCATTCATACTGTCGAGATTCAAAAAAAAAAAAAAAAAAACGATGAATGAAGTCAATTCACAAGTCATCCTTGTTGCAGCATTAATCACTAGTACCATTTCCTTTAACTTCCGATGGAATGAAGCAATGAGTTACAGGGTTGATCTCGTGTTTGCTCATAGATGAGCTTGCTGTTGCAAGCAGAAAACTTCCGGTTCTACTCTACCACGGTGCTTGTAATTGCAAACTTGTATCACATGTCATGGACAAGTCGTACAATATTCAAAAAAGAGAAAAAAAAAAAAAGATAAAGGACTATGAGCATTCGATCAGAGGATAATATATACTAGTGTTACGTTCTTTATGCTGGTGTCTTTCCAAGCCAGACTTGAAGTCAATTTGTGCTGATAAATGAGAGAGTACAGGCTAAATTCAAAGGTTCATGAGAGGATGTCGTGATATATATAATTCACTTGAGCAGGAGGTTGCCACATTTCTTTCTTTTTTCTCAGAAAATGACGAGAGGGGGATAATAAGCTATAAAGGAGGTTGTCGACTGATTTGAGAAGCTTTCGTTTTACCAAGAACCCATATGAAACCTACAAGGAAAATTTTGCATCTGCCAAGAATGATACCCTTCGAACATTTTAAGCTCGATCTCATTATTTGCTTCCTTTTTTTTTTTGCTTAAATCTTATTCCAACTCAGAATTTCCATTTTGGTAAATTACCACATCCCGCAAGTCCACCTCAACCAACCTTGGCATTTTGCTTAATCCGTTAAACTTGTTTATACATTATGATAATGGTCGGTCATGAAAAGAATAGAAGTAAGAAAGTAGTCCAACTTTAATTGGTTTGAGCAGAAATCTCAGTCCCATCTTTTCTTTTCTTTTTTTTTTCCTCTATTTTTGGTCAACTAAGGAAGAGGGATCAATAAATAAATAAATACATAAAATTATAGTACGTGCATGGTGACGGCTAGAATTAGGTGCGTGGGGTATGTGAAATGTGGCGTGTCGTCCGTCCATACGATTTGACGACGACAGCAAACCGAAGTTAGTCTGATTCAGGCACCTCCTCGTATAAGTAACCTTTTGTATTTTGTTTTTACTACCATTTTGTCACCTCCGTCTTCAAAAGAAACACCGGAAAAGCAAACCATTTTCTATTTTTCCAAGATACTGACTAACACCCCGTTATACAGTACAAATTTGGCCGGTCATATTCATCTGGAAGAAGATAGAATAAATGTTGAGTGCTAAGACCTGAAGCCAGCAATTAAACATCTGAGAGAGAAAAAATGAACGGTTTTTGTGTGTTATAAGCTGAGAAAGCACGGTATAGCTCTTCTCCTACATACAGTGATACCACTGCATGATCACATGGCTGATCAGACTTTCCGATGCCAAATGAAAAAGAAAAATGGTTCTTTGTGTTGTTAATTAGCTGAGAAAGAATAATGCATTTTACATAGCTCAGGAGATTCTCCCGCATGCGTACTCAACCAGATGATGGTCACATGGTTGATCGGACTCCCCAGTTGATTCCGAATTGGCCAGGCAAAGGCTAGTTGAAATCCTTGAGGATGAAATGAAACCTGGTCAAAACAAGAATTATGAAATCAATGTTGTAATAGCACTAGCGCCGAATGATCACCTAAAGCAAAGCAGCACGAAATGATTTTTGGTGCATGCTCGCGCTGTGAAAACAACAGCGTTTTATTGACGTGTATTGAAAGTGTTTGACTATTTGGAATGATTTTTTTGAAAAAAAAAATACTGTAACACTTTTTTTACATAGTATATATGAAATAAAAAAAATGATCGAAAAATATATTGATGATACAAGCATTAAATAATCATCCTCCTCACGATCCTTTTATTCTTCTTGATGTTCAAGTCTAACCCTATTCATACCATTTCATTAACTTAGAAAACAAATACTACAAGTAAAAATACAAGTTGTTAATGCCACGACAAAAATCTTTTTCTGTTCAATTATTGGACAAAATATCAAATTTACCCTCCTCAACTCTACTTGCAATTTAGACATGAAAGAATTAGTTCTAGGCTCAATTCATCACCCTCCGGGAAAACCGTAAATGGGCCACACACGCCACGTATTTTTCTCCTGTCCTGCTTGCCAAGGTTTGCACGTGATCCATGCTTTCGTTAGAATGTCACATGACATGACCACTTCCACGTAATTGTGCTGTCAGCTGCTACTAAATCCACGAAAAAGAGGGGATGATTTCAGAAACCTTCCTTGAAATTTCTAATTATCTCACTTACCTCCCTTCAAATTTTAAAAATTACACTTATCTCCCTTCAAATTTATTATCTTGCAACATTTGGATCTAACCAACAGTTGAAAAGTGATATTAGAAGAAAGAAGATAATGTGATTTCATCATTACCCCTCATCTACTAAATTGTTTAATTAATCCAATACCAACCCAAACATTAAAGAAAATACTAGAATTTACTGTTTATCATTAGGGATTAAATCACGTATGCCATCAAAAATAGTATATCATTCTATATATTTCACTTAATGTGAGATTCAAATTGTTCTTTTCAGTTACAAACCTATTGTCAAACATGACCAGTAACAAATAATTAAAAAAAATCTGTAACCAAAATATTACAAAGACTAAACTTTAATACCATAAAAATCTCGGCAACTAACATTAATATGTTGACAAGAATATTTATGATATTAAAGTTTGTTCTTTTGAAATATTTTGGTTGAAAATTTTTTGATTATTTGTTATTGACTATATATGTTTGACAATGGGTACGTAACCAAAAAGAGTAATTCAGATTTTAAATTGAACGAAAATTATAAAATGATACTATTTGTGATTTGATTCCTAATAATAAATAAAAAAATTTAGTGTTCTTATTTAATGTGCAGGTTGGTATTAAATTAATTAAATAATATAGCAGATGAGGGGTAATAATGGAATCATATTATCTTTTTTTCTCCTAAAACCACTTTTTAATTATTGATTGGACTTAAATGTTACAAGATAATTAACCTTAGGGGAGGTCAGTATAATTTTGAAAATATTAAGGAGGCCAATGAAATAATCAGAAACCTTAGAAGAGGTTTGCGAAACAATCCCCAAAATTGAATGGTACCACATTAGTGGTGCGTATCTTTATTGCAACCTTTGAGGATCCTAAACATTGTGGTGCATAACTGAAGATTCATAATGACTTTTGTTACGGGAAATCCAAAGGAATTTAAAGAGCCTACTACTAATCTACACTAATATTGAAGCGTAGCCTTGCATTGAGCTAATACTACTCGATCGAGTCTTTTTAATATGCATCAAGATTCAATGCATCGACAGTGATTTCATTGTTCAAGTAGTTTTCACTTTTTAGGTGCCTGCAAGCCATATTTTAGAGGGGCGGAGTATTTTTATCCACCATGTAATGGAAAGTCATGCTCAGCATAACCTAATCAAGAAAATTGGGAAACTTGGAAATGGTGGTGTTAGGTATTCCCTTTCACCACTAGTCAACGTCAAATTGGGAATTAAATAAGGGCCAAAAACCTTGACGTCGAATTGAAGCAAATGCTGTATAAAATTGAAATCCAGATCATCCCAATTGGCCAATTCCCCGCCCTATGTATGGGGTGAAACGGACCGGACCACTTTATCTTTGAAATTTTGTTGGTCCCCTTCTTGCTTGACTTAAGCCTGTTCCGTTTTACGAGCCTCCGACTAGGACCAAAAAGGAAAGCGAAAGAAATAATCCCCCCTCCCCTCGCCTCCCCTGCCCCCAACGATGAGAACAGTTCGTAATGATGTCTAGATTCATTGAATCTCGGTCGAAATTTTTTTCAAAGAACAGCAGCAGTAGTAACTAACGCGCCTTGTTTTGGTTATTAAGGTCCTTGATCCCTAATTAAGAATAATGCGGTTGAACTCAAGTTCAACTTATAGAATCTGCCCGCAAAAATTGACTTACCATGTGTGAAACGATTACATAATCAGAATATTTTGGTTTAAGGAAACCAAATAATATTCATCAACCTTTAATTAGGTCTGAATCACAAAATGAATTGAGAGAGATCCTTGTAATGGAAAAAAAAAAAAAAAATCAAAAAATCATATCAAATCAAAAGGGGTACCGAATCAACTTCAGAAAGCAACTTTGCACACAGCTGAGAATGTATATATATACGGTCTGCTTTCCTTTTCTTGCTCATTCTTTACCGCAGAATCATTTTTTTCGGGGCAGCAGAATACTCAAGCATTCACATTTAGCAGTTTTCTTCAGAAAGAAAAAAATGACATTCCGTAGAATGTCAAATGCGTATCAATGTTGGAAGTTGCCGGTTGGGGAGTTCACAGAAATCAAGGGATTCGGACGTAAATTACGGCAGCTAGGAAATCAAGGGGGCGGGCAACAGAAGAAAAAACAGGGAAATCAATTCAAGAGGGACAAAATCGTAAATTCGAACACCTAGAAGGAGAGCACGACATTTCCCCTTTTCCCTGTGCTGTGCTCCCATCAGCTTATTATATAAACACAAAAACAAACGACGACTCAGCATCCTGTCTTCACATCATCCTCCCACCGGCCCCGACCACGAGGCCAAGATCACGAGCTCCTTCCATCCCACTTCAGCTCTCCCCTCAATCTCGTCCCTCTCCTTTTTCTCTCTCTCTCTCTCTCTCTCAAGAATTCGTTGGTAGCAGAGAGAGAAAATATAAGAATGGGTGGCAAGAAGTTTGGGGTTCTGCTGTGTGCAGATGATCCCGAGTACGTGAAGAAGATTTATGGAGGGTACTTTGGAGTTTTCGTGAGAATGCTGGGGGAAGAAGGTGAAACCTGGAAGGTGTTTCGTGTGGCCAATGGTGAGTTCCCTGATGACGAAGAGATTAAAGAGTTTGATGGGTTTGTCATCAGTGGAAGTTGCAGTGATGCTCATGGGACTGATGGCTGGATCTGCAGGCTTCTCAATCTGCTCAAACAATTGGATTCCATGAAGAAGAAAGTTCTGGGCATATGCTTCGGTCACCAGGTATATATATATATATATATATATATATATATATATATATTCATATACATACATATACATACATACATACATATATGTTAGCAAAACAATTACTGCAAAAATCAAATCTCGTTGCTTCCAAGGCTATTCTTTCATTTATGGACTAACTAACCTTGACGAGTGAGATAAGAAGCGGTAAGCAGGAGTAAATTAATGAGCATCACGTACGGGTTAAGTTATTTTTATACCTAGCACAAGGCTTTTTATTTTAAATTAACAGTGGATGAAAAAGATTAACCTTTTCGTTCATCTTAGATTGTCCTCACCTCCATTAAAAGCTAAAAGCAGAAGTAGTTTGTTCTGCAATATGCAGGTGGTGGAGTTAGGTGAAAATTTGCTGTTGTTTTCCTGAGAAAATGCGCAGTACAGTACAGTACAGTACTGACGACTGAGCATGTTTCTTACAGCTGTCGGTGCTCTCGAGTTTGAGGGCTTTGCTAGTTGTCGTAAATTGGTAGGGCGTCTTTTCTAAGTTCTAAAAGGTGTTATTATTGGAGACATGCTGATTCGAAGAATTTGGTAGTTCAACCCATGACTATAACGCCCGTACTTAGCTTTTAAACCATGCTTATGTGCAACATAGATATATTATTAATTGTTGTTTAGTTAGATTTTCTTAGGGGAAACAAAAAAGACTACTAAGTCGCTGAAATCATTTCAGTGGTTGGAACTTGCACATTCTCTCTGTACTTGGTCTTCAAAGTCACGCGTTGAAAAATGGTTTATTAGTCTCATTAACCAAAGTTGACAAATTGTGGCCATTTTGTCAGCTGTTCAACTTCATTCCTGTTTTCTTTCTAAAAGGTTCTTTAGACATGTGAATTTAATGTCAACACTGAGTTGGATAGCCGTGTTGAGATGTTATTATTATTATGGTGCGATTAGGACAGCATCATAAAAAATTAATTGTTTTGTTAGATTTGCTTGCTGTTGCTGCTGGAAACAAAAGACTAAGTCGCACTTTTTCAGTGGGGCTATGGCAGCACGTCTCTTCCTTTTCTTCCGTACTCGGTCCACTGACTCGTCTGTTTGGAACTGCAAATTAATTAACGTCTCAGGTCATTGACTATAATCATGGATGATTAAATCATACTACTGGGAGATGAGAAAAAAAAAAAATTTTTCTCTGATGAAGGAGATGAGAAATCTCTTTTAGTTAGGAGAAAGTTGTTCAAATATAGAGGGAACACTTGGCATCGGATTCCTGGTCAATTGAAATTTCTTTAATAGAACCGTCAACCAGCTGCCAATTCGTGACCTGTTTGGGCAGTGCAATATTATAATGCTCGTGGACTAAAACATTTAGCTAACTTCATAAATTTGATGGAACCTCGCTTTGGGACCGGGGGGATTGAGAGAGAAGTGGAAGGAGTGGAGCCAGTCAAGTGGATTCCACTGCCTCTTTGCCTCCATGGGATGGGATGGGATGGGATGGGACGGCGGATACCAAATGCAGAGGCTGTTAATTTGTGGTCCGAATCTGTTTGCTGCTGGGATAGGCAGTTTTGTGAAAATGGTGGTACGTCGGCTATTATTTAGTGCAGTTTTGAAACAAACCCCTTTGGTCCCCTCCTCTGCTAGTGCTGGCCTCTACCTGGGGTGGTGCAATCTGTATCTGGTTGGCAGTGGCCCAAAAGCTTTTGCTTTTTCGTACCTGATATGCAATCTGACTTATTCCAACCTTAGATTAGATCGAGAGCTGGTTGAATTATTGAATACTCCTATCATTTTGTGGGCTGGCTAGCTTTCTATTTTCCTGCGCCCTTTCTCTAATCCACATCATGCAGTTGTCTTGATTCAATTTGGTACTGACCATTTGTTTCCTCTCGGATCGGATCGGATCGAGAAGGCATTAGAAAGATAAAAAAAAAAAAACACCAGCAGTAATTTCAATTTGTGTTCAAATTCCTATGCGATGTGATGTCTGCCGCTCGTAATTAGAAGCCATTGTGCTCCACAAATTTAAAGGCATTGTACTGAAGAAAGTTTCAATCAAAGTTACATTTAGCCTGAAGGTTGCGTCGGACAGGAGGACTTAAATTGATTGATGTGACATACCACCACCTGATTTCCTCGTAGTGGTCCAGGCGTGCGATGTTTCTGTCTTTGTATTGTATTTTTTCCATCTCTCTACTATGGTATGGTTAGATACCTTGGTTTCTCGATTATTGATCAATAGAGACGGTGACAAGGTATCTTCTTGTCAACAAAAAACAAGATGTTGTGGATCAACACGTGTGGCACCTTGCCTTTTTGCTACTCACTTAGCATGACAATTGTTTTGTGTGTGTGTGTGTGTGTGTGTGTGTGTGTGAGAAGACATACGGATTGATTGGCTTTTATGGCCAACATTTTTTTTTATATATACGTAAAAGGGTTTTTTCATGTAACTATAGATACTGGGACGTGCACTGGGTGGAAAGACCGGTCGAGCAACAGCAGGGTGGGACATTGGAGTCACAAATGTTCAGCTATCATCGTCGAAGCTCTTCACATCTTTGAAAATGCCTGCTTATCTCTCTGTTATTGAATGCCACCGTGATGAGGTTTGGTTTCGTTCCCACGCTTTCTTCATTCTTCAAGCGAATGGAACGGGTTAAAACATGTTTACTTACACAAATTCTGTAAAAACTTATCTGAACAAGCCAGGTGAGGGAACTTCCACCAAAAGCTGAAGTACTGGCCTGGTCTGGTAGAACAGGGGTAGAGATGTTCAGGTATGGTGATCACATCATGGGCATTCAGGGTCATCCTGAGTATACCAAGGACATTCTTCTGCACTTGATTGACCGTCTTCTTCAACGCAATCTCATCGAGGTTTACTGATTTTTCTTCCTGGATTTGATAGATAGTGTAAATCGAACAAAAGTTCTCTGGTGCTGACATATACAACCTTTTTTCTTAAACGTGTCTGCTGCGTTTATTCAGGAGTCGTGTGCTGATGAGGCTAAGTCTGACTTGGACGCTCGCGAACCTGATAGGGAGGCATGGAAGAAGTTGTGCATCAGCTTCCTCAAGGGTAGTAGATTGTGATGATGAGGTTTCAATTCAGCGTAGGCGAATTTGGGGAAGCTGTAGATAAGAAGATCCACTGTCCTCCAGGATTTGATTAGGGAAATTTCTATGTGCACATTTTCCTTAAAAACCCTGCAAAAAGACCATATGGAGCAGGCAATTACGGAGAAAGAGTTAGTCGTTTTGACATCATTACATGTCATTACTGTCGAAATAGACTGGACTCTCGAGGTCAAATGAACCTGTTTTGATTTAACTTCAAGGCCTTTGATTTGATTTTTCTTCTCTATCCCTTGTCTTTTAGTAATTGATTTCCGGGGTGACCATACGGTGGTTGACACAGATTTACGATCCTCCGTCGGCCTAGAAAACAACCTCAAGTTTCCGACTCAAGTCCCAACGCTCATATATATGAATTAAAATTAATGTATTACCTCATCACTATTTTTTGAGAACAAAAAATGGATGATATTGTTGTGGTTAGGATACCAAAGCACATAGGATTTAAAAAAAAAAATTACCCAAAGGGAGGGGAAGAGCAAAAAAATGGATGATATGGTTGTGATTAGGATATTGAAGCAGCTAGGATTAAGAAAAATACCAACTAAATAGGAAAAGGATAAACTAGTAAAAACTTCGAACTTCTTAAATAATTCCCGTCAACATTCTTTTTAGAATTTCCTAGGTTGCCAAATCGGAGTTTCTTGCGCCACTCAGTAAATAAAAATAATCTTTAATTTAATTTTTTGATCAGCGCAGAGCAGGAGTGGGCGCGGGTCGGGTTCCCGCCTCATTTACCATTTGACTGACCCGATCCGCACCTTGCGGGTTAGCCATTTTTTTACCCTTACCCGCCCCGCATATCAGCGGGTATTATAGGGTACCCGCTGAGATAGGGTCGAGTCAGCGAGTACCCGGCCCGCCTCATTTATCATTTACTTTTTAAAAAAAAATAATTTATACCAATTTAATTTTATATTTTACACATTCATCTAAGATTTAATAATTTTTTTTTCTAAAAAAAGGTTTCCCACCAAGAAACAAGCATATGAAGAGAATATAAGATAAAAGAAAAAAATTAAAAGAATTCAAAATCAATAAAAGTTTGAAATAAGTAGCACAATTTTTAATAGATATGTTCCACATTAATTAAACTTTTTTCTATAAAACATAAGATCATGACCTCTACAAATGAATCTTGTAAATAAACTATAGTCTCTCATATTTGTAATGTAATTTGTTTAATAAAATTACTTATTTAGTTCTAAATTATTATTTTATAGTGTGTATAAAAATAAAAAATAAAAAAAAAATATATATGCGGGGTGGATCAGATACTTACGAGTTTTTAATTATGTGACCATAATCCGCCCCGCATCTTAGCGGGTATCCAACCCTCTTTTGCCCCAATCAAATAATCAAAATCCAATATCCTAATTTTCAGATTGAATCGGATCGAATATGACAGATTTTCGAATTAGCGGATAATTTTACCCACCTCCAACGCCGAGTCATTTTTACTTTTATTTTTTGTTTTCAGAATTTTTTGATGCAATTGTCTTGAGTCCTCGCGTATACCAGAGCTAGAACTAGAAGCATCATTGTAAATTCCAAAGCAAAAAAATTTTTTTTTTCCCAAAATGATAAATGTTGGACTTTTCCAAACTGGCGTTGGCCTCTGATTAATAAAAGGTACAATTGACATTTTACAAGAAGAGAACTACGGTTGCACATCGTTTATCCACCAAATAAACAAGGGACCGGGGGTTCTCTTCAAACTTGAAACAAGCGAAGTTACGAGGAACAAACGTCACTTGTAACACTCAGCTGATTATATTATACTCGATTTATTTCCTTGCCCGTCTGGCTGTCTCGTAACCAGCAATTTAGCTGCTAGCTTTAACACAAATCTTAAAATCCAATTAAGTTCAAAACCAGTCACAATAAATCACGGATAAGCAAAACGAACTCACAAAACTAACAGAAAATAGACTGATATAAGGCGTTAAAAGATGATAATAATCCGCATTCGACAATCGCTCAAGATCTGCGAAGAGAAGCATCAATAGATAGTACCGTGACGCGTAGCTGATTAATCGAAAGTTTACATCAAATTCATGTTTTCAGAACATTATTCAAGAACTTAAATTCCATAGGTATACGTGCAGCAGTCATAGGAATCCCATCTAATGAATCTTTCATTTCACATGCAACAAGCTCAAGAACTCATCATAGACCCAGAGGTCCTCCTGCATTCGGACAACATATCCATGTAAAACTGACACTTGCTGATGTCATTGCCATAGCCATTCAAGCACTGCAAAAGAAACAGATAAAGCCACAAAATGAGAAACTCCTACATATTAGAGACAGTAAATTCTAATACTGCACAAACGGGAAACTACATCTAATGAAAACCCTAACGTAGACCATGTACAAACTAATCTTTCCAAAAAGGAGGACAGATGTAGTTTGGTAGGACAAATTCGCCCGAGGCTCAGTGCTAATGAGAAACACTTGCACGCCACAGATGTGGCATCTAAAAAACTACAAAGACCAAAATAATGTTTCATCCATTAACCCCAATATACTTGCATGTCAGGCATTCACATCTCCTCTATTCCTGCCTCTTCTCTGATGTCTCTTTCTTTAAAGGTATAGACATGTTTAAAAATTAACATCATCATAAAAACACCACCAACAGCATCAAAGAAAAAGCAGAGACAAAAATCTTCACCGACACAATTTAGTAAACAAGGTACTAATGTACTTTAGTTTATCACTGACAAATACATCAATGAATATAATATTCTGACGCAATTAATTCTTCAATAAAGAAGCCTGTGCAGATAAATTAGTCATGAGGACTCAGGTACCCACTTTCTCCTCTCACACAACGCCCCGGGTGCCCCCCAATAAAAAAAAAAAAGAGAAAGAAATAGAGGAAAAATGAAAGAAGAAAAGCAAACGACTAATTCAGCAGTCTGGTTCAGAGATTAGTCAAGAAAAGTGAACATACATCTTGGAATGCCTTAGCATGCACACTGCAAGCATCAGAACCACCCATGCTGTTTGTGGTTGGTGCAGGAGCAGCAGCTGCTTCAGAGCCAACAGTTTCATGTTGAATGGTCCGTGGACCCATGACAGCATCAGCAGCCCTGTGAGCCATTGCACTTCCAGTACCAAAAGCCATGCCTACAACAAAAGAAAGGGGCAGTTAAAACTAGTGCCTCTATGGAAATGTTACACATTTTGCAAAACTAATAATCATTATAGGGCCAGTAGACGGAGAAAAGTCGGTCAACAAGCCGAAGAAAAAATTTTCATGGAAATTAATCGACACGATCACAAGTATTCTTACCATTCTTCTCCAAGTTCAGTTTGTAACTAAAAAAATACTGATTAACTTCGACATATCAAGTAGTCTCTTTGGCACAGATTATTAGGATTGTTGCAAGAGTTATAAAGAGTAAGAACTCTTTAGGTACCTTGCGCTATGGTTGAACCGATGTTTCCAAGCAAGGATCCACCACCACTAGCTTGAACAGGAGCAGGAGGAGGTGCATGATTCACTGCATCACAGAGATAGTAAAACTTCAGATGCAGAAACATAATGGGTCATCTAAAGGATTCATCAGAAAAACACAGAAAAGAACATGTAATTGACATGATCATTGAGAATTCATATACTTGTTCTGAAAATGAAAAGGTTGCAATAAGCTAGAAAGCAAGCAGCTGATGCAGGAAAATTTTCAACACAATTCATACTTGTTTTCCCAATGCCTTTATGCTAAATCATACCAGGTTGAGGAGGATTGCGGGCTGGTGCGGGACGAGCAGCTGGCCGTGGTGCAGGTCTTCCTGCGCACAGATTTTAGAAATGGAAAAAGTTCATCATTGCCAACTGGAACTTCGTGGAACACATGGAAAAAGATATGGAACAACGCCAATTTTGTTTGAAAATCATAAGCAACAGGAATTAATTTTGACAATAATGTCTGAAAGAAGTATATTGCAGACATCCAAGATACCAGGATGGCACAAAAAGTTTCATGTGCAAGATTGGATAGAACAAATAGTAATTCCCAAGGCACGAAGTTGAAAAACAACCACAAAGATTAGCTACCCCCTAGAGTACTCGGAATAAAAGATAAAACCCACATTTTTTAAGGAAATCAAATTATACACCACACGCCCCACAAGTATAATTGAACAAGCAATTAAAGTCTAGCCCAGAAAAAGTACAAATGTATTAGTTCCAAGAGAAGGAGAAAATTACATAGTCCAGATGCTCAACCTTGTTCAAGTCAATCAGAAAATGCATCCAGTCTGTCTAAAACCTAGGTCATTAGATTCTTTCTTTCCCGCAAAATATACCATTACTGACCAATTCAAACCAGTTTAGGACTCGAGATTATCCGCTAATTAGCAAACTTAACAAGTAACTAAATACAGCAATTTTACAGTAGCCATTTAGACCTAAACATCCAACCTTTCCTCCCCTTGACAAATTCCAAAAGCAAGGAAACAACCAGTCAAACACAGAAAAGCAAATAGAAACAGAAAACAATAGTATCATAAACTAACCTAAGCTCAAGCTATAAAATGCCATCTTAAAAGCTTCATCAAGCAATAGGCTCAAGAAAATAAGAGTAATCTAAACATATCTACAAAAACCCTAGCAGACAGAGATGAGAGGGTATCACAGATCTACAAGTCCAGGAAAAATAAAAAGGTAACCAGGGGTAGATCGGGAAGGAATTTTACCCCCTGTGCTTCGGCGAGGCATGATTCAGAGTTGAGGCGGCGGTGGAACCTAGAGATAGAAATGAAGACGCAGCGAGTTGAGCTTATAGTTTTATCATCCAAATAAAACGAGTTCGTGAACCATCACATGGAGATAGGAATATATACTAGGAAATTTTTATCAGGTGTACCGTGGTGCACATAAGCTTATGACGTGTCAGAATAGTTGTGGTTGGTGGCTGCTCAAACACGTGGTTTTCCGATAGCATGAGAAATCAATCCAAAAAATCTGCCTTTCTAATTAATTTTTCATCTTCATCTATTTTTAGAGATGAATATTGTCAAGATAAAGATATGGTAGTATTCATTCACTCAATTAAGTGTGCGTGTGTAAATTGCTCCCAAATAAAAAAAAGTGTATCTGTATTTATGTGTGTGCGTGTGTATATATACACAGATAGTAATTAGAAAAAAAAAGTAGTCAAAATACCTGAAAAACTGTTTTCTTTATTTTTTTTCCTTTTGGTTTAAATGATTTCCAAT